TTTTTGGTTGGATGTCTGCAACCAGTGCCTGAAAGAGTGGACGATCGGAACTACAGCTATGGCGACGATTGGTGGCTTGTCCGGTATCTGCTGATGTCCTTGTCCCAGTGGTTTACGAATGGACGAGGTGAGAACGACGCTGGTCGGTGCTGGGGCTTGGTCGTGCTGCCCTGTAACCTGAGTGGTACGTGGGCATGAGACCTGGTAGAGAGATCTGGGGAGTTGTCGAGGGTGGAAGACACTCTAGTGTCTGTTAGTGAACTGATACTTAGTCGACGCTGGCCGGAGCCGGGGCGGGTCGCTTTGCCCTGTAGCCTAGCAGGGGGGGGGGTTCTGGGGKGGGTCGTGCCACTCTGTAACCTAGCAGTTGGGGGTGGGAGGCCTGGTAGAAATTGGGTATCGGGGTATAGGGGAGAGGCGGATAGGGTTGATCTGCTGACAGCTGCTAAAGGCAGGTGGTTTTCGGTCTGAATATTCCCATGATCAATCCTTAGAGAACCTAACTCTTTGTGTAGATTGCACAGCTATCATCTTTAGCCGAAGCCGGGTAATGGTCCCGGTAACTCTTTTTTTTTTTTTTTTTACATAGTCTCCTCAAAATGTTTTTGAATGGGACACTGGGCCCGGTTCCCAGCACGTGTTGCTCCCCACGAATAGATTGGAGCATGTCCAATTCAAAAAAAAAAAGAAAAAAAAGAGGCATGATTGAGCAAGCCCTGTTGTACGCGTACTTTGGGCACTAGGTATAGGCGTTCTTTCTACAGGTCCCATAGGTAGACCCCAATTGTCCCCTAAACTTAACTTGGGCTCGCAGTGCATGGATCTAGTCGTGCACTTGTAGATATCACAGGCACCCTCTAATGTGCCCCACCCCAAAGCCAAGGTCTAACCAATGACACCCTCTAAGAAACCTGGGTAGTATACCCACCTAGCACAGTTGTTCTCAATTATTCTAATTAGATTGTGGTTGTACTGTTGTTCCAATTGCAACCTAGAGGTTCTAGCCTATTATCAGCAGATGTGCGGCCACCATCTGCCTCCCGATCTTAATCGTCCACTAGACCCTTCTTCAGCAGCTTGCTGTTGTTCTTCTGGTCATTTTTGGGTGTATGTCATCTTGGGGGTACCCTAGCCTCTAGCATACAGTGGGTGCACGATCACCATCCGTCCCCATCCTCAGTCATCGGCTACACCCCTCCACTTGTCTGGAGGTGACACAGCCTCATCCTCAGTAAATATTTTCCACCGAGTCTGGAACTAGTCCCCTCCTATGGTTGTAAATATGTGGATCGTTGGGAGGTCACGTAGCCATATCCTCCGTAGTTATGAGGCCACCATTCGTTCTTCGACAGAGACTTCAGTCCCCACTAGTCGTCGTAGTTGTGTGGCTATGTCGCTCCGAGGCAACTTAATCTCATCCCCAGTAGTTATTAGGCCACCATCCGTTCGTCTACCCAGTCAACAACTAGCAGCCTCCAATCATTGTAGCCCTGTCCTTGTCATCACCTAGAGTAGCAGCAGTCTCGGTAATCAGCCAGAAATCAGCTGGTGCAGGACCACCATCTGCTCCCATAGCTATGTCATAAACTGGGGCCTACTTTGGCAGTTATCACCAGACTCTGTGACATATCGGCCCTGAACAGAATCAAGGGGCAACTGAGCGGCGGTCACAAAAGAAGTTTGTAAATGCGTTCCAAACATGGGTTTAGCACTTCAGTCACGGCCCAAGTTTGACATGCAGTTGAGTCACGGTCCAGCTACGATCGGCAGTTTCAGTTCGCAGTCCAGTCGCAGCCCGAGTTTCATCTGTCGAAGTCGGGCTGCAACTGGACTGCTAACTAAAACTCTGAACCGTGATTGAACTGCCAACCCAAACTTCCAAACCATGACATGTCCAACTTTGGACCTGACTGGACTGGACTTTTTTTTTTTTTNAAGGTCTCTATCCCGGTGGTGGTAAGAGAACCACCGGGACCTGACTGGACTGCAGAAGCCATGTTCCGAATGTATTTCGATACCCTAACCCAGACCATGCCATAGTTTTCTCCAGAAGGAAACTTTTAACGTCTTTTCTCACTGCATCCTAGCTCAACCTACTGACCTGCTATCTCCACTGATCTGTTTATTCACTGCACCGGGTTTGGCGGACAAGTACATGGGGTGTCAACCTAGCACCAACGGATTGAATACAGAGAAGGTTTAGGGTTGGCATAATCAATCCTGCGACCTCCCCGCTGCAGCGCCGGAGCTGTAACCAAGCCAGCTACCTGCTACCTTGGCGTGCGAGGGGGTCATAGGCTGTTTCAACGTCTTTAAAGAGAATTGCTGCTTCCTTCCGTCTCTGCCTTGCATATTTTATTGCTGGGGCAAGTACACTTATGTCAGAACAGAGTTCCGAACGGGCAAAAAAAACACGCGTGGGCAAAGAAAACAGCCGCCAAGTTCGAAAAGGCAATGGAAGTACCGCGGCCTTGATAGAGACACAGGTGTCATAACTACAGGGGTGGGCCGTGGTGTCAGACGGGAAAGGAAGGGGAAAAAAAAGAGGGCCAAGGGATGTATTTGGACTGAAATTGCCTTTTCGAGTTTCGCGGCTGTTTGTTTTGCCCCCGCGTGTATTTATTTTGCCTTTCCGAACTCAGATCCTGTTGCGGCCGCACTTGTTTCTTTATTGTTTCATTCACCAACAATATGTTATTTAAACTTATTTTTTATGTTTCTTTTTGGCCTGAATCCTGTTTGGTCTTGGTGCATATGGCAATTCTTTCTTTCTTTCTTTCTTCTTCTTTTTTTTTTTTTTTTCTGTTTTCAATGGAACAATGCTCCCATCTATTTGTGGGGAGCAACACGTGCTAGGAACCGGGCCCAGCGTCTCATTTGAAACCATATTTGAGAACATATACAGAACAAAATGAGATACCAGGACCAATACCCAGCTTCGGCTGAGAATAGCAATTACACCTTTTCTACGGGTCATGTGCAATTACTTGCCTATTCAACGAAGGGCCTCGTGAAATAGTCTAAAGTTTAGAAGAAAAATGAGAAGTCTTTTTTCTGAATACGGCAATTCATGCAGGGAAGGAGGCAATTTGTCAGGGGTTTTGCAACTATTTTGTACGGTACTACAGGTAGCAGAATTATTCATCTGTAGCTCCTGATTTTGGCGGTACCCTTTCTTCTAGAGCAGTGCTGTCATTCCTTGAATGGCCCTGAAGTACTCCTCATGCCATGCTGCCTGGATGTACTCTTTCATGCTTTCCTGGAATAGATCCCGGTACATACGCCATAATTCTTTGGGGAAAGAGTCAAGCCTGAGGGGTTTCTCATCCTCCATCTCACGAGGGTGGTATGGGGTATATCGGATATTAGGGGGATCTCCAGCTATCCTGTTCCAATTTGGCGGTTAACCTGCTTAGTTAACAGGGGCTCACCCTATTGGACCTAATTCCGCCAGCCAGAACGAAAAACATTTTCACCCGCGTCGGCTCATTTGTCTTTTGATGTGTAGGAGCATTCCAGGTTGGGAAAAAGAGGCTCAGAGGGACTATTGGTGAAGGGAAGAAGAAAGCAAGTCCACAGGCCAATGGCCTTCCAACAGATCAGGGTGAAGAATGCCTTTGAACCACCAGTACTTTCGAGCATCTTTTTCACGAGGCTTGAAATGCCCTATGTGCCAAAAAATAACGAAGCAGCACGGGCCTCCTTTTTTTGGTCATTTTTCCTGTTCTGACGCCCTGCCGTGCCCCGCCCCGCCCCCCCCCCCCCCCCCCCCCCCCCCCCCCCCCCCCCCCCCCCGCCCCGCCCCGCCCCGCCCCGCTCCGCTCTGCCCCCGCGTTCTGATCGTGGAAATTTGTCGTCCAATTGATTACAACAGGTACAAAAGGATGCAGCTCACCACCATCTCTTGTCGTTTCCTTCTACGGTCAGGGCAAGTGACATTGATTACTTCTCATAGGAGAAGGATTAAGCTCCCACACTATCTTTCTCTAATATCATGAATCTGCCATTCCTGTTAAGCATCGCTATCATAAACAATTATCTCACCTGTTCCTATATGATGTGTGTCTCTGACTATCTTGATCTCTCTATTTCCTTTGACTTTTCACTGACTAGTTATGATATAGGTCGAGGCACACTCAGCTCATGCCACGTGTCTATCTGGGGGGTGGGAACCCTCCCTAGTGCACGTGATTGTGGTGCACTCTCTCTCCCTCCCCCTTCTCCTCCCTTTCTCTCTTTCTCCCACTCTCTCTTGCACTTTCTCCCTCCCCTCCTCTCTCTTTGTCTCGCCCCTCCTCCCTCTCTCTCTCTCTCTCTCTCTCTCTCTCTCTCTCTCTCTCTCTCTCTCTCTCTCTCTCTCTCTCTCTCTCTCTCTCTCTCNCTCTCTCTCTCTCTCTCTCTGTGTGTGTGTGTGTGTGTGATCACCCCAGTCCTTGCCGCCAGATTCTTGAAGATCTTTAACTCGCTTTGTATCCAGATTACACCCCCTCTCCTCGTGCCTCATTTTGACTGGCGCTGCAAGCCCTTTGCTCCGGCAGCTGACCCTCGAAACTTGTGGCCGGCATGCAGCCCAGTTCGATAAACATGGCTGGAAAATGCACCAGTGGTTAAATTATATGAGGGTAACTTGAACCCATTTCCAGCAGGTGCAGCTCCCCAGCAATAGACTGGAGCCTGTGATACCCCAACACACCTACTACCATGGGGCTACCTCACGTGCTGGTGCCTGCGGCTGCTATCCAGTAGGAGGTCCTCAATGTACCTCAAGATCAGGAGCATGGGGTGCAGGGGTGCACTGGGGAAAAGTATTGAGGATTCCAGGGGGATATGTGCCAGCAGATGCTGGACATTGGGCGTCGCTGCACTGCTCTCTACATGCACAACAGACAAAAATCATGGCTGCGGTGTATCTTTCCATATTCTAGTGGAAGATTCACTCTCATTTTGCACATTTCGAGAGTAGTGCAGCGAGGCCCATTATCTGGGCGATAGAGGAGGGGCCGGATCCTCTGCTACGATCTCTTCAGGGAAGGGCGAGCACTCTCCGATAGCTACTACAACAGCGGCAGTAAAGGAGGCACAACAACATCGACGATATCAATGGCAAAGGCTAGAGCGCAGGTCATCCACAACATCAACAAGAACAACATCATTAACAGTGACAAGACAGGGGAGCACGTCTGTAACAACATCGACAACAACATTATCATCGATAGTGACATGGGGGCAGGCAGCGATGACGATGGCAACAGCGGCGTGGACAACAACAACAAGAACATCAACAACAACAACAACAAGAACAACATCAACATTGTCGAAGATGACGTCAACAGCAACAACAACAAAGACTACAAGACGGCGTTATTTGAACTTATTTCGAACAACGGTGGAGACACCAGTCCAGGCAGCTGCGTTTTTGACAATGGCGACAAGGACGATCGAGACATCAACAACAACAGTAACAACAACAACGACAACGGCACCTGCACCGCTGGCGGCGTCAACGTTGATTGGAGTCATCCGGCCCTTGATTTCAATCAAGTAGGGGTGTTGCCTGTCCCTCAGGTCGGAGGTAGGTTGTTTAGGGTTTTCGTGTGTCTGATCTGTTTTTTGGAGTGTTTTGATGATTGCTTGTTGTGGTGGTTGATGACAATGCTTGTCGTTAGGGTTAGGCTCCGATGGCAGGAGGTCAATCCTTCCCTGTCGCTGGGAAGTAATCATTGCTCCTGCTATTTTGGAGTAACGTGGCAGATATGGTGGAATATGGATTTGGCTTTGCATGACATAAACAGACCAAATGAACACAAATCACATAGTAATGGATGCACACTTATGATATCTCCACACATCATTGAATAGGGACGCTGGACCCGATCTCCAGTTGACACTCATCATATCATTGTGTAGGGATGCTGGACCCGATTTCCAGCAGGTGTTGCTCCCCACCAATAGATGGAGCCTTCAACCCTTGGGCACACTTAACGAGGCTGCTCCTATCACCTCGTTAAGTGGTTTCCCCACACCTGACGTTTTAACAAAAAAGAAAAGAAAAGGAGGGGGCCTCAAAAAAAAAAAAAAAAAGGAAAAAAATCGAGAAAGAAAGAAGTGCCAAACCACCAGTTCACCCAAAGCAGAGAAGGGCTCTTACCTGTTTACGTGGTAACCAGTAAGAGCTTTTCGATTCAGGCCTGGGCTGATAGTGAATGCGGCAGGCCATTCTGAAAGGCGCAGTTCCAGACTCACGAGCCTTGGAAGTAGCTCTGCCAAGTTAGGCTGGTCTTGGGATTTTCTTTTTTTTTTTTTTTTTTTTTTTTCTGAAAAAGCCTTTTTCTTCAAGCCCTCCATCCCACCGGTGGTGAGTGAACCGCCGGAATCCAGGTCTTGGCCGTCGGGCTGCTCCTGGTCCAGCGTCCCTTGGACACATCATTATAATACAATGCACATTTCCAACGAGTCCTGGAACTGTGGCCTTCACTGTTCTTGCCTTGGAGCTCTCTCTCCCCTCAGAGCTGCAAATTTATCCTTCCCTTTTCGGAGCTCACTCTTTTCCACAGGCCCAGCCCAATCCCTGGGGGTTGCTGAGGATTGCCAGCCCTTCATTCATGTGCCATCCCTCTCTCTTCCCCATTGATCCAGCCTATTCCGAGGTATCTGCAGCCCTTCCCTGTGTGTTTACTCGATCCATACCCCTGCCCTGTTAGCTCATTGTGGAGCCTTGTGTGTAACCTTCCCTGTGTTTTACACGATCCATACAAATTATTATACACAATGGAACATCATATTGAAGAAGATAATATGAGCTTCATATCATGGCGCCATTATCTCCCTCCACAACGTCCTCAACACTCCACGCCTGCCCAGGAACACCCAACCCTTCCACTCATCATGCTGTGATGCTCTAACCTCATGCCCAGCACGACTCCCTGTTTCGGAGTGGGAGGGGCCCGCAAGTGCGTGAAAGGGGCGTGCCACTGTGCCAAGGATTTTTGGGAGAGTGGGGTGGAGTCCCAGATCGGAACTGGGATCTCCGGTGTCAAGTTTCAAGGACAGAAGTGCAAGTGGCTCGGCGAGAGACCAGTTTTTCTGATCTACGCTTCTCAGAGTCGGGCGACTGGTTCCGCTGGCCTCGTCTCCTGGGGCAGGTTCGTCGGACAAACCCCGCGGTCCAATAGGTGTAATACTGCTGGTGTGGCGGACCCACTGGGTGAGGTGCTCCGCCTGGGACAGAGATGGAGATGGAGATGGAGATGGAGGATGAGGGTGGAGCAAGATGACACAGCGCAGCTCCCACGCACGTACTCCAAACTGTGTGAATGCAGAATGAATCCAAGTACAGACTCTGGCTGGGGTATACCCCAGCGGACTGACTGGACTGGACTGGACTGGCTGGTACCGACAGAGGTACCAGCCTGGACTGGATTACCCCGAATACAACACAGGCCTGTGGAAACAGGCCAAGGGGCTGGACTCATAGGCCAACCAGAGGTACGCTACAGCTGGCACTCCGAGCACGGCCTTCGGGGACAGTACGGGGCTATCGCCTTCCAGGGGATGACCGTTAGATTGTGGTAGGGAAGGAGGAGATAGAATGGAGGGAAGCTATTTTTTCGATGGCGACAAATCCCAACTCCACGTAATACTGGTGGTTACACGTGTCGGGGTAATCCAAGATTCGAGGGTTTTGTCCTATGGCCCGTTGAAAGTCCCATGCACACAGTCGATCGTTCTTAGTTTGGCAGGGAAATACCGGAGGTCTTAGTCTCGATCGACGAGAGAGGTGCTCGTTTTCCCAGTACCTTTGGTACTAGCGATCTCTTAGGCAGTCACGCTCAGTGATCCAAAATGGAATGCCGATGTCCATATCTCATGAGAGAAAGTCAATTCATACCCATGTGCATGCAAGGTGCAATCGGGTCGAAGACGGATCATGCAGACACGCGTATATGTGATGACCGCGTCTTTGTGGTCATTCGTATACAGGATCTGTCTCAGAACAGGCTGTAAGACTACCTGCTAGGCATGCATTTATTCTATTTCCGGTTTATTCAGGAAGACAACATCTTGTGGGCTTAATGCATAAATAAATAGCCGATCAACGAGACATACACGGAAAAGGTGAAGGAGAAGGAGCAATTTCCCATACGTCAGCCACATGCCCAATCCATACATATCGTAATCCCCTGACCCAACAATCGACTACATCCGTACTTTCAAGGCAATCAAACAATCAATCGATTTTTGCAGCCGTCATGCATCCTATATATAAAAAAAAAAGATAGGGGAGAAAGAGACAATTCATACATCAATCGAAGATAACAAAATATGAGATTGCCGCAAACAAAGGTAGCCAAGTCCAAAATTAAAATTAAACAAAAGATGCGAAGAGATAACACCACTTCAACACCTCTCTCTCTCTCTCTCTCTCTCTCTCTCTCTCTCTCTCTCTCTCNTCTCTCTCTCTCTCTCTCTCTCTCTCTCTCTCTCTCTCTCTCTCTCTCTCTCTCTCTCTCTCTCTCTCTCTCTCTCTCTCTCTCTCAACATTTCTTCGATGCGGGCAGTCTGTCGCCTCGCACGTACCAACAACCCGAAGTTGTCACCCGACTTAGCCCGGGCGTGGAAGCCAGGTTCGCCCGTGTGCCACAGTCCTTTGCAGCCACACATTAACCCTGCATACCCAGCACCATCACGCCGGATCGCCCAACTCCCTACTAATTGTCTTGTCTTTGATCGTTAGCCGATCCTCTCGACCTCGCTAACTCCCAAGTGTAGATCAAAGAGCGAATTAGTCGTACTTGCATAATTTATAGCTCCCAGTATCCGTGCGAGATAATTTTGGGTTACGCTGAAGCAGGAGGAAGAGAAAAGAAGGAAGTGCCAACAACTGCATGACAGGGCTGCAACGTGGGGGACGTAACCACTCCCCACGCATCGATCTAGTCATGCATCTTCTCTGCCAATGAGATAGACAGAAAAGAGACGCAGGTTTTAGTGCGGAAGGAAATCAGGAGGGAGAGGATTACAATTACACCTGCGATCACGAAGAAGGACTCAGAGCAAAAAAAGATTACAATTGCGATTATAATTAAGGCGCTGCGATAATCGCGCCAACGTTCTCTTCCCCACTTTTAGCAGAACAAGAAAGAAGCTACGACAACAGTTATTTTTGTGCTCGCTCCAACTACCAACCACCATGGGACCAAGCTTTTCTAAGAAGACAGGGGCACTTGTGCAATTGGGTCGGCCTCTCCCATTCAACCCCCGAGTACAGTCGCGCAAGAAATCGGGAGTTTCATAAAGTAGTTCGCCACATATGTGACGCCCATGCAAGCTGCATACTCCATGTCCCTGCACACAAGAGAGAAGAAAAAAGAGATGAAGAGGGGAAGGAAAAAAAAGAGGAAGAAGACAACTGAAAGGAAGTTCGCCATCGCTGCCCGATCCCTGCCCCTGTCTCGAGGCCCCGTTCACCGCTTCACTCACGATGGTAATTGTCCCTCCGTCGACGTAGGTAATCTCAATACAGGGGGTGGGGTTGGAGGGTGAGATTGAGGAAGCGGTGGGATAAAAAGATCCAGCGATCGCACCCCGGTAGAGATAACCTCGTATCGCTCTAGTCGATGGACAAGTAGAAATCGACGATTGCGATGCGGAAGGGAAGCGAGATAGTCGGGATAAAGGGTACATAGGGTGCACAGGAGGTCGGCGCGAATCTGCTCGTACTGGTTACAGGCGGGGATCGTTCCCGTAGTTAAGCAGTGGACTTCAATGTTGTTGAAGTCCCACCATTCTACACTGAATAGGAGGATATGGAGATGAAAGAGAGAGACGAGGGACTGGGTAGTTGAGTGGGGGAAGACCTCGCACACCAGACATGTGACATAGAAGTTATGGAACAAATAGGGAGTGAATGGATGCCAGGTGTTGGGAAACGGTGGGCGTTTTAGGATCTCGCGGAAGGAAAGATAGTCAAGGGGACAGCGAGAAATCGACCGAGGACGACGCCCGATTGCCGCATTTCTACAAAAGCGAAGGGTTGGTTGGGCGGGCGGAGGGAGTGGGTGAGGGGCTAAGTGCTCTTCTCCTGCTGCATTTTGCCCCTGTGGTGCTGCCATTGCGTTCTTCTTCCTCCGTCGGCGTCTCGGCATCCCCCGAGGGATCGTCATTCGTTGCTTGAGATAGGGGCTGCATCCCCTTGGCATACTCCTTCCGCGTCCTTCGCCCTTCTCTTCGCTTCCTCGTCCCGCGCCTCCTGTTCTTCTTGTGAGTGCTCGATAGACCCCGATTCTGCGCTCTGCTCCTCCTCATCCTGTGACGCGATCACTGCCCAGAAGTACGGATCGACGATCTCCTCCTGATCCAGGTACGGGACCGACGACGAATAGTATCGATTCTTATCGTCGTACATGGCAAGGCGCGTCCACAACAGCTGCGGCCTAAGTGTCCGCTCTAATGTACCTTGCTCCAGGCTCTTGTCATTCTGGTACAGAATGTTGAGGGGCAGGTCGCCGAGGAGCTGCGCGAGAGGCACCGACAGTTCCTAAGTGATCGGCCCGAAGTGATCAGCACTCACCTCTCTGAACAAGATCCCCAACAGTTGTCCCTCCACGTCCGATCTCTACACTTGGATGATCAGCCACTCGATATCCCTGTCCAGATCGTCCGGATCAGCCGACTCAGCCGACTCAGCCTACGTGAACTCGACGTTGAGCAGGCAGAAGTTGAGCGCTATGAAAGTTTCCAACCACTCCGACCACCTATCTTCTTCCAAGTCGGGCACCGGAATCGCTTTGATTTCGTACGACAAATGTGAGCGGGT